GGGCAGCGCGGCGGACAATTCCTTGCCCTAAAACCCTCTCAGAAATGAGGGGAGGCCTGTACCTAGCAGTAGGAGATAAATAGACTGTAACTAAATAAAAAAGCTGCTCATTAATAAAAAATATTTAATTTTATTTATATAACAACAACTTGTATGTGAATTCTCTGCAACAGTTTACCTCCTATTGCTTTGCATATGCCTCTTTCTATTTCTGATGAGGTTCTAGGATTGAATCACAGCACCATTCTAACAAGAGTTGGTGGACTCCACGTGCACTCAAATTTTTTGTAGAACTGTTAGCTTCGGTGACAAAAACTTACTTCATTTAAGTGCAATCAAGCCTGTGTTTGGTTGTTAGGAAAATACCATGAGTATCTTTTGTATGACTGAAAAATTAAATTACCCTACAAATTTGATAAAATACAAGCTGTTTTGGATAAAGGATAGTAGGATTTAATTAATAAATATTTTATTTACCATTCACTAGTACAGAAGGCATGTACACCTGCCACTTTTTCTTGTGTATGTGAACTTTGAGAAATCCTTAATCTACGTGAAAATTAAGGCGGTGCTATAGTCATCAGCGGTGACAGGTCGACTGTCGGTATATTGAAATTAGAAGAGTTATAGTATTATAATGGCTATTTGAGTACAGAACTAGATTATAAAACCAAACTCTGATTAAATATGAAATCCAACTGCGGAGAGGTGTAAGATAGGGTGACGTTATATACCCGAAATTCTCCACCGCTGCATTGAAAAACGTTTTCAAGCTACTGGACTAGAAAGGATATGGTATCTACATTAATGGCAAGTAGATAATTCAACTCATCTTTGATTCGCCGACGTCAGCGTGCCAGTAGTATTTAAGTTCAACTTCGACCCAGAGTTCAATCGGCTGATCCAACTCGGCTGGCCAGATGTCGAAAGACTAGTACACATCTCCTCGTCACCTATAATCAAAGCTTGAAAACAACTTTGTAAGATAAGCGCATGTTTCCAGGGATGATACGAATATAAAAAACTCAAGGTCGCTCAGCGAACCATGAAGAGGGCTATGCTCGGAATTTCTCTACGTGATAGATTTCGTAATGAGAATGTCTGCAGTAGAACTAGAGTAACCGATATAGCGAACTGAATCAGCAAGCTGTAGTGTTAAAGGGCTACTCGCATAGCTATAAGAACCAACAGCCGATGGCGAAGAAAGGTCTTTCATTGTCAGACCCGTACCTTTAAGCGATGATCAAGGTGCCCCCTCCCCCCACAAGATGGAGCGATGTAAAGATATGTCCGTGCTTTGAATGAAAATAAATTTACGGCTTTATGTCGTGTTTAATTTTAACTTTTAAATTCCAGACATTTCCGGCTTGGCCGTGCTTAATATCATTCCATAGCGCAAGCCGATGTTCTGCAGTGGGCCTGTGATGGGCTTTACTGATATTGGCGATGATAATCTCATTTTTAACAAAATAGAGACTTTTTTATCAAATATTAGAGAAGAGAAATCACAAAAAGTAAACAGTATATCTCCAGTCGCATTATGTCACATACATATATGTGTGTATACAAAAACAGTTCATTGACAACTTTTATTGAAATCAGAGTAATTGTCCTTTACTTGTAATAAAATGCCTTTGAGCAATGTGTTTATTTTTAAACTTTCAAAGTATTAATATATACTATGGTTTAAGATATTTATTTTCTCAAAAGAATTAAAATTCACTTACATGAGAAATGTACAACACTAACATAATTTTATATTAACAAACTGATAACAAAATAAATATAAACCATTTTTATAGTCTAAACAAATAATGTTAAAAGTTATGAGTACATAGTAAAATAATAAAAGGAGGCTACCAAAGATTAAGATAAACATTCATGACGGGTACTTTATTTGGTTCGATCGTCGAGTGCAAAATTATTCATATACCGACTTTTAGCTTCATTTAATCGAATTTACGTTGAACAATAGAGACTGGAAGTGATATTATGTATTTTTGATTGAGCGCAATTATTACTTGGTTGGATTGGTTGGATAATTAAATGACCTAACTATATCTGTGTTTATATGTATACTTGTTAAAAATTCCCTTTTTAATGTTTTGTTTTATTTGCTTTTTTTTATTAGTTATTAGTACATACATACATATAAGTATATTTTTATACACATATATACACACGTATATACATACATATAGACACATATTTATATTACTATAAAAGTAAGGCTTATTAATCATAATTTTACTAGATCGAAGCTGATATTATGCTTATTTAATAACATTTTAGCATTTTAATTTACCTAACAATATTATAACCACCCAATCAAATTAAGCACAATTTAACGAAGAAGTAAACCACCTTGATTATGTGTTTAGAAAATAATGTTTTAGTAATCTTTTAAAGGTTGTCATAGATTTGGCATCCCTTATCTCTTTTGGTAGTTTGTTGTAGATTAGGGCACCTTCATTTAAAATACATTTTTTACCGTGGTTAGTACGCGCTGTGCGTAGTTTTAATTCTCTGTAAAGTCTTGGTCTTAGTTTTGTTATAGGTTTATTTTTTGTAAAACTTTATTCTGTGTGAATGCTTTTATTTAGTAATTTACGTACTAAAATGCAAGTATAATATTTATATGTTAGTGATATATTCATGATTTTATTGTCATTATAAACTTGGGCTGTTGGAGTAAGAAAGTCGTAATTATATAGTACCTTAATCAGTTTATTTTGTGCTACCTGTATTGTTTCTATATTGGTTTTTGCTGCTGTGCCCCAGACTTCTATAAGGTATTCAATATGTGGTTTGACTAATGAATTATAAATAGTGTATCGCACACTACGTGGGAAACATTTTACTATATTTCGCAGTGCGATAGTGAGAGAAACCAATTTACATTTAATATTATTTATATGATACTTAAATGTCATATGATTATCCAACCGGAGACCAAGGTATTTTTCATTATCTTCTTTAGAAATTGGTTCACTATTTATTGTGAGAAGCTTATAGTTACCAATTTTTTTTATTTTTTGATGTAAAAATTACGTAGTGTGTTTTAGTAATATTTATAGTTAGACGGTTAGATTGAAACCACATATTCAATGTGTTGAGATCTGATTGGGCATCGGTAATCAATTCGTTAATTGAATATCCATAGTAAAACAGACTTGTGTCATCTGCATATAATGCAATATTACCTTTTAATACTATATCCTTAATACTATTGATGTAAATCAGAAAAAGCAGCGGTCCTAATATGGAACCTTGCGGTACTCCAAAAGTTATTAATTTTGGTTCACTTTGATTAGAGCCAATCTTTACTACTTGATATCTATTGGATAAATATGAAGCAAAAATTTTCAATGCAGATCCGGAAATACCCATATATTTCAATTTACACAGTAACAGTTCATGACTAACTGTATCAAATGCTTTTTTTAAGGTCTATAAAAATACCGATTGCTATTTGTTTTTTGTCTATGCCAACTTTGATTTTTGTGACTAAATCTATTGCAGCTGAAAGAGTGTTCGATTTCGGTCTAAAGCCATATTGTTTATCGTATAATATTTTTTTAGAATTTAAATGGTTTGCAAGACGATTATATAACACACGCTCGAAAATTTTGGATAGTACTGGTAATATTGAGATTGGTCTGTAATTTCCGCTGTACTGCTACTTTTAAACTGTGTGGAAATACGCCTTGTTCAAAGCAGTTATTGATGCAGTTTACAAGCTCATCAGCAATTATGTTCTTGATACATTTTATAGATTTCGTACTTACACCGTCTAATCCAGTGCTAGTGTTAGGATTTAAACCATCTATAATTTTGTCGATTTCGTGTAGAGATACGGATGGCCAATAGGATATAACATTACTTCCAGTTTCGATAATTATTGCGTCTAATACAGTTTGATTAACTTTAGGTATTTGATTTGCCAGGATTGAACCAATATTTGAGAAAAAATAATTAAAACATTCACAGATAGCTTTATCCTCACTAACGACAGATCCCACATGCGTGATCAGTTTATTTGGAGCAGTAGTTTCTTTGATCTTGTTATTTGATAGATCGTTGATCAGTTTCCACATTTTTGCTGGTTTGTGTTTACAGTCTTTAAACGCCTTATAGTAATATTCACTTTTAGTTTTTTGTATTATATTGCTTACTTCATTTCTTTTCTTCGCGAAGTTATCCCTTGTACTTTCATTGTCTGGATTAGTTTTATATTTGTGCCATAATTTGTTTCTTGTGTTTATTTCGTTTAAGATATCTTTATTAATCCAATCTCTTCTTGGTAGGTTGAGGAATTTGATCTTAGTGTCTTTGCTTTTATTTATACTAGATAAGATTTTTTCTTCCAGTTTTACATATTCACAATTATTACTGTTTCCAGTTATTGTATTATACAATTTGGTGTAGTTTATTGATTTATATTCATATTTTGATACCGCATCTTGCTTATACTTCTTAATTTCAAAATAGATCTGTTTGTGATCAGACATAGCTGATTCTATTACAGCAAGGTGAAATTGTTGTTCTTTGAGACTCGTGCTGACATGGTCTATAATAGTATTCGAAGAAGAAGTTACACGGGTAGAGTATTCGGGGTCAATTTTATTTAATAATTTGTAGCCACACTGTCTCAACATTTCCATATACATCGAAGTTGTACGTTCTTGGGATGATAGGTCTACATTGTAGTCACCAAATACCACTGCCCTTCTGCGCGATTCCAATTTTGTTGAATATATTTCTATGAATTTATTAATATTGCTGTTGTCGGGTTTTCTATGACACCCACCCACCACCATGATGACACCCACATCCAGTTAATACTTGTCAACATGTATCCATAGATAATGATTGTTATCAAGACATTGTTCTTCTATAAGATTATGTTTCATGATATTGTGTGAGAAGATTGATACTCCTTGAAGCTAGTTGGTAAGAAATATTTTTAGAGATTGGAATTTGATTATCATAGAATTTTGTTAGTTTTTTGGCTTAATTTTAACTATTTTTGGTAGACCTTTGTTGTATTTGATAGCTAGGTTCATCTCTCCATTGTCCTTACGATGTTTCAACTCTTCTTTAAGTTTTTTGTAGAAAGATTGTTGTTGAGGCGTTTGATCTGGGAAAATTTTAATGGGATTCAGTTTTTCGTTACTTTTAGAACGTAATACAAAAATAGCTTCTTCTGGTGTTGAGAAACACACTTTGAGTAGGCGTTGCATGGCTGGCGCATACTTTCCCAGGCGTGTTATACTTTTTGGTTCTGTACAATCGTTTGAGATCTTTTTTTAATAAACCAAGTACTTCTCTCTTCTCAGCCTCTTTTCTATCTTTATAGTTAGATATATTTGTTTCCATTAATCCAGTTATTATGATATTCTTGCTTCTAACCGATCGATCAGAAAGTTCTGCCATCACAGTTTCTTCTATTGTGCTACTAACGGTTGTTGTGGTGGGTGGATCTATTAGTTTTGTACTTTGAAGTTTTTTTTATTTCAGAGTCTAACGTTTCTATTTGTTTATCTTTTCCATTATATTTACTGATCAAGTTCTTTATATTACGCTTTATTTTCTCATTTTCGAATCGGAGATTATCTATCTCGGTCTTAAGATCTTTTACATGTTCTTTCAATCAACTTACATCTTCCGATATCCTGTTTATGGCTTCCGTTTGATTCGCGTTAATTGAGGTAAGAACTTGCATCATTTCTGCCATTCCCTTTCGTATTTCGCGTAATTCTTCTTTAATATCTTGATCACCAGAGTATTACCGCTTACTACAAAATGTAACTTGTGGCGCTGTAGAAACGTCTGTGGCTGACTCTCCCGTCGACAAATTGGGCTGTGAACCACTAAGTCTGGTACCTGTGCCACTTCTAGTAGGTGAGCGTATTGGCATCATGTTGATCTGTGGCGCGTGTATTCACTCGCAGCGTACTTAGCAGAGTAATGTCACAACAGCGTAGGGGAGTGTATGCCGATTTATAATATGCACCTTACTAACTTAAGAATTAAGGTCGTTTAAGCATATTTTATTATTTTTGTAATTACAACCGATAACACGTCCACTTTGTTCGGTGTCGCGCACTTATCTTCTATATGTACTGTTATTAAATACGAATTTCCAGTTTAGAATTTACGTTTAATCTAAAAGGACCAGATGTATCTTTTTCAAATACCTATTCATCGCCTCATCACATTCACTGTTCTACATATACATATAAATAAAATTGAAGTGTCAGTCTGTCGTCTATGTCGTCTGGGTCTGTTTACTGAGCTAAGAGGGTTAATATCATGCCATTAAGATATGAATAACCATTCTAAATTTTTTGTCTGTCTTTTTGTCTGCCCTGGCTTCGGAATAGCTGAATGACACTTGTTTACGTGGTAAGGCCGTTCTGCAGCTATATTACTGGCATAGTTGTAGTACGAATGGTTCAGCACGACCGCGTAAGGACAACGCTCACACAGAATACCAACATCAAATAGCAGCTTAATGCCGCTGTGTTTCGTTTAGTGAGTGTAGAAAACCGGAGACCCCCTTTACTAGAAACGAGGCATTCCATCTTATCCTCACGGGTGACAACGCATCTGCATTTTGATTCGTTATCGAGGATAGATGTAGATGTCTATGGGCCACAGTAACCACTTACCATCAGGTGTGCTCGTAAAAAATATATAGTTTGAATCCACGACGAGATATTATTTACTATTAAATAATTTTTGTTTCTTGTCAAAGATTAAAGGCTTTCTGTCTTACATCCGTACATATAAATAAAATTGCAATTTCTGTCTGTGATATCAAAATGACTATCGTATATTGAGTTGTGGGGTGTTATTTGCATGCGATTAAGAAATTAATAACCATTTTTGAGGTTATTGTCTGTCTGTTCGCCGGTCTTCACGATTAGATAGAGCGCAATGCTAGGAGTGATCTAAGCTATGTTTTATCCTAAATAAATAGTTCTTTAAAAAATAAACGAACAGGTCATAAATTAAATGATATTTGATTATCTTTGATCTAAATAACGCCTTATTAATATACCCGACCTAGACAAAGTTACAGCATAAGCTACCATAGACACAAATAATAAATACCTTACTAACCTCCACACAAACAAAGTTTCGGTTACAAATAGTTTATTATAAAATACACAGTATATTGTACCTTGACTTCTTTACTGTCGGAAGGAAATTGTTTCCTTTCGTAATATTTTCCTAGCTCGGAATTCGATTCATTAATATCGGTATTCGATAGAGTAAGACGATAACATGACCAAGATAACAGCTTAAGTCGATGGGAGACCCATTAAGATCGGCTAAATTGACCAGCGTAATAGGTTAATTTGTGGGATTACCAGTTGTGTCTTATCTGATTTTAATGACAATAACGGATGGATTAATAGGAGTGAAACTACTTGCTTAGTGTAAGGCAATTGAGCGTTTAACGTAAATAGGTAAATACTGATAGTATTGAGTTGATTGTGTTGTAGGTCTAGTGATCGTAAACTCGATATCTGATCATAACGTTCCCGGTTCGACTCCCAGGTGGGGCAATCAATAATCCTTTATTAAATAATAGAAATACAAGTCGGACATATTATAATAATAAAGATCAATAACAATTATAATATAGTAAGAAAAATCGGTCAAAAATTTTCTTTAAGTAAGGAGGATGTTCGTGTAGGGATTCCTCATATAGACGAGTTGTGTGAGACGCATACCCATGGGTGTACACACGCACATATATATATATATATATATATATATATATATATATATATATATATATATATATACAACCTGTAACATAATTAAGGCACTTTGGGAAAGTAGTATGTTCAGAATCGTTTACTGAATTGATTCCTATCATTTTTAATATAGGTAATTTTTTATCCCAAAAATAATTAAAACTACGTACATTACAGTGACACTAAATCTGTACAGTCAAAACAAACTGAAATTGACCGTAACTTAAGGCAATAAGACTTTTAAGAGTGCAGTTTTATTTGTATTGTTACTAATTCTGTCATTCAATAAAAATAAAGAAAAATGAACTTTATTTCAAGCTCATTAAAGTCTTTGCGTTCCTGGATTTGTACTGTGACCACAACATTCTTCCGGAATTAGTATAACTAATTTGATAATTAATCAGTGCATAAAAATGTTTAACTAAAATTCAGTGTATTTATTATGATTATACCATAATATACTAATTGGGGTGTCTGAGGGTGTGCATTAATTACGTTACATATTGTATATATATATGGAGTGGTAGGGTTACTGACTACTAATAGTACTATTGCACAATGTATTGTCCTATATTAGGGACTTATGATGGTAAGGTCTATTATTAAAAAAAATCCTTAGGATTGTGATTTTATACCATTCTATTACTCATCAGGCGCGGGTACGGAACTCGCACAGATCAAGAATATGTACGGCTTACAAGTAATTAATCCGGGTCTAGATGTTTGTCCTTGTGAAATTTATGTGGGTATATAAACTGCCTAAATGGTACAGGAGTAAATCGTAGTATTGGGGCAATGGTTTTTTCAAATAATTGGAATAGGTTTACTTACTTAATTGCAATAATGTCCTCTCAACCGACTCTTTTCTACTACTACTTCTTGTATGAATGTTAAAAAAATAAGGGTATAATGGCGGATGTCTGTATTATATTGAAAGGTGTTCTAATTAAATGTAGTTATAAAATAAAAACTCCTTTGTTTTTTTTTATATAAAAGCTTTTTTGTTTGCCCTTTACAATTTTAGTCGACTTCAAAATGTAGGAGGTTCTGAATTTGCCTATATGTTTATTTAAATCTATACAAAGCAATCTCTTCGTTAATTGTGAACTGGTTTTGATGATTTTTCTCATTTATTATTAGGTCAAAATTAATGGATGATCCCATATATTTTTTATAGAATAAGGGTAACAAACGAGCACACAGTCCACCTCATGGTAAGTAGATGCTGTGGCTCATATACATCTACATTTATCCTGGATTAAGAATCAAAACGTAGATGCGTTGTCACCTCTGAGGACTAAGATGGAATGCCTTGTTTCCAATAAAAAGGATCTCCAGATGTTTATACTCACCATACGAAAAACAGCAGTATTAAGCCGCTATTTTACGCTGGTATTCTGTGAGAGCGTGGTCCTTCCCCGGTCGAGCCGACCCATTCGTGCTACAACCATAATATAGCTTTAGTGTGGCTCTACCAGTGGCTCAAACCTTCTAACACTTAAGGGTGGGAAATATAGGGGATGAAGTTCACTTAGACGAGAATTAATTTGAACTTACGATATTCGCTCGTCCGCTCAAAAGTGCCAATAACTTTAACTTTTACCAATAAGTTCTATGATATCATCATCATCTTCATCACCATTAAAATCCTCCACAAAATCACTGCTGAACATCGGCTTCTCCCAAGGAATGCCACAAAGCAAGGTCCTGAGCCACTTGCATCCATCAACTTCCTGCATGTCTTACCAGGTCGTCATTCCATATAGTGTGGGGACGCCCTATACTTCGTCTATCGGTCCGAAGCTGCCACTCAAGAAACATTCTTCCCCATTGCTTGTCGGTTCTTCAAGCTATATGGCCGACCCATTGCCACTTCAGCTTACTAATCAGTCGGGCTATTGATAATGTAGTTAAACATTCTTTGATATCTCAGATTAAATTATTTTATGATGTTTATATACTCGTTTTATGTCTTTTATTACAAATCCGTCATGTACACGCGCATAAATTATTTACATATTATTTAATAAATATCATTTAGTTGCAATTATCTATCAAAATGTAACATTATAATTTATTTCACGAATGGTTTGTCAGATATAAATCATTTGTAGATATAACTTACCATTTCAAACGCAATAAAGAGTTATTTATCCATAATCTATACATAAAAAATAAGCATAGATGTTTTAATTTTTATAAGACGATAAATTCTTATATATATACGAGGATTACGACACATCTCTCGACAAATTGACTTCGAAACTATCATTTTTGTTCTTTCACATATACACTTCAGTCTGGTCAAATCTATAATGTGTACTCTTCGAACAAAGACACATTGTATTGCGGAAAGTCCTCAACAAACATTTGTCCGAATTAACTGGAAGATGTTATTGACTGGGCAATGCTAAAAATGTTACAAATACAGATGTCTGTATATATGTGTGCCCATACATAGCGCAACGATGTGTGCGTGAGCTCTCACCGACAGGTTCACCGACGCTCCGTCGGGGTACAAACCTGTTTGCGCCGGCTCAGTCAGAGTATCCATGAAAGGGCTGTTAGTCGTGCACATATAAATAAATGGAAGAACAATATGTCGTGATTTTAGAAATCAATTATTTTTTTTACTGTTAGAGTTAAGTTTAGAGATTATTTATT